TAGGCTTGTTGATTAAAAAAGTCCTGAAGATCTTTCCTTAAAGCATATGGCCACTCCATATGTAAATAAAACTGCATTTGCTCTGGAGCCTGAGGACTTCAGAATTTAAGGAGGAGCTTCCTTTATGTTCACACTCCCTCAACTGGAATTCGTAGCAGCTAAACAAAACAATCGTTCCAATACTTATTAAAATGGTAAGGAAGACTTCATTCAAGATCATTGCAAAGGAGTCAACTCTATTACAGTTGTGGAGAGAGGTCGCTCAACTCTGAATACAACAAGAACCAGTGGGGATTTATAGCCACTGAGCTGGATCAGGGAGGGGAGTCACTGGATGCAAAATTACTAAGAGGAGACATTAAGGGCAGGGGGATTCTTGCTCAAGGTAGCCCAGGGACTTAGACATCGTTAAGTGGGGGATGAGGAACTTAATCAGATATTAAGGGTTGATCAGGTAGCAAAGGTAGGGGCTTTCTTAACAAACTGACTCTGCAGGATTCTTGCTGAGACTGGGCTGTGTAGGCCTGGCCAGAACAGGCTGAGGCCTAGTCAAGAGGGCCTGGGGAAACCTAATATTTAGTCGAGGAGAGAGTCTGTGTCATAGTGCACGTTTGATGTTTTTTTCATTCATTATTTCTCCCTTTTATCATTTGATTAAAAGCTGACAATTTATATCAAGTAAGTTTTATCAGGTCTTAATGCAGTTTAGGTTTTTCTTTAATTTTTATTTCAAAAAGTATGATGTACACATACTCACTAAAAAAAAAAATTTAAGAAATAAATTTAACACATATTCTCTTCATTTTCTGCATTTCTTTAAATGAGATGTAGTGTCTAGTCTTTGTTATGTAATTTAGAGCTTGGACTAACAGTTTCAGTAAGGTAAGATTGTGAACACAAAAATTTTTTCAACTTTTACAAAACCTGAACTAGCTTAACCAAAATGCTGATCAGGACCTGCCATTCCACATAATTTGTTTAAGATAGTTTGAAAGCAAATCCTGCTCAGATAACTTAAAATATGACAATGCAGTGACAGTTTTAATCAGAATAAAATCAGAACAATTAACTTGTATAGTACATTTTAAAATGCACTCCTTTGCAGTCCCATTTTAAGAACCTAAGAAAAATCCTTAAGTTTATTTGTTACATAGATATTTGGTTCTCTTTCTCGCAGGAAGCAAGGTCACAGTGGTGGTTAAGTTACCAGGCTAATCCCAAGAGACTGTTTAGCCCATTATATAATTGAACTTTATAATATTAATATTAACCATAAGCCTTTCTAAACCAGTGATTAGAAAGAGTGGGGAACAGGAGGCTTGGGCTTTGACATCAACAGCTTCTGGTTGTAATGAGGAAGGGGTGATATCAGTGGAGGGGACTCTGGCAGAAATAGTTTTCTCTTCAGGCAGGGAATGCAACTGAGACTGGGAGTACAGTGGTTGTATAATTTGTAAGTCTGCAATGGATGGTAAATGAATGTACCTTAAAAATACTCCAACTTGACATGTGTTTTTTGAAAGACTTATCACAGTAAATACAGCTCTTTAGTCAAACAAGCAGTTTATTAAAGTGGTTCAGTTACCATAGCAACGTATCTGGAATTTATAGCTCCTTATTTTGAGAGGACTTCATTTCACTCTCTGAGGCACTGAAATCCAAGGCTAAAGTTCTTAATGGCCTCCAGTCTCATTGCATGATGAATTTCTGTTGTTTGGAAAATTTATACATATAAAATGTAACTTGCAAAATCAGTCCTATGACTTCATAGTGGTGTGTGTTAATTTTAAATAGGTACTTTTCAATTTGGAAATGCCCCTCTTTAAAATTTTTTTTATTATTACCAAAGCTACATATGATCATAGTTTAATGAGGAAAAACAGCTATTTCAAAAAATAAGTCTTCTAAAGTTATTCCCCAGAGGCAACCATTTTCTGTTCTTTTAGCTGTTTTGTTTTTTCAGTATTTACTTCAAATCCCTCAGCAACATGTTTATATTGCTTCTTGGTTTGTATTACTGCTTGCTTTGTGATTTTAGCTGTCATCAATTATTTGAGTCTCTGCGTATTTGAAAATGGCTTTATTCTACTTTTATAATTGATTTTTAATTTGGCTGGGTATAAATTCTTAGTTAGAAATAATTTTCTTTAGAATTACTAGTACTGATGTTGAGAAATCCAATGCACTTCAAAGCTTTTATTCTATTTTAATTCCTTTCTTCCACTCCCTGGAAGCTTATAGAATTATTTCTTTGTCCCCAGTGTTCTAAAATTTCATGATGATGGACCTTGCTCTAGGTCCATTTTCATCCATTGTGAAGGATCCTCAGAGGACCTATTCCATTTTCCATTTTGGAAACTCATGCCCTTAAGTTCTGTGAAACTTTTTTTATTTCTCTGATTATTTTCTTTCTCTGTTTTCTCTGTTGTTTCTAGAAACTTTATTATTTATGCATTGCCCTCTTGGCTTGGTCCTCTAATTTTCTTGTACTTTTATATTTACTCTATTATTTTTCATCTACTTCCTGGAAGATTTTTTCAGCTTCACAACCGTAAATTTTTCATTTCTGCTATTATGCTTTTAATTTCCAAGAGTACTTCCCTCCCTTTCTTCTTTAATCATTCCTTTTTTGGAGCATCCTGTTGCTTTATAAATGTTATCTCTTCTAGTTACACTGTCTCGAAACTCTGTACATGGATATGGCTTGGAGACTATGGCCTTCAGTAAAGGGTAATCTGGCTGGATGTCTTATGGAGGAACCCTCAATATCAGAATCTTTAGTCTTTTCTCCCTGGCTTGTCTGATTCCCTAGAAAATAATCATTTTATATGATTCTGCTGTCCTGTGTAGAGGCATAAGCCTCTTTATCTTTTGGGTGACATGGGAGGATAAGAAGGCTGAGAGAGAAGGCAGAGCTCAGCATTTATTATGTAACTTTTATTTAATCTCTCTGATATTGTAGAATAGTCTGCCATCAATGTGGGATTCCTTTATCCAGATACCTCTGTTTTACCCTCTCCAGAAAATAAACCTCTTGCTTTCTGCGAGAGTAGGTTGGAGAAGTACTCTATCATGTGGAACAGGTACAGAGAGGATATAGATCAGTGTTGCACATAATCAACTACTTAAATATTCTTTGACCAATCCTCCTATTGTAGCCACACACCCCTCACTTCCCCTTGCATCATTTCCTAAGCCTTTTTTACATTACCACATTCTAACCCACATGCTTCTCAACTTTCCATATTGCCACCTTAGGAGCTGTCAGGTTGGCTAATCAATTACTAAACTAATTTTTAGTTTCCAAAGTTTTCTTTCTGTTTCTTTTTTAAGATTTATTTATTAGAGAGAAAATGCTCACACACACAAGTTGGGGGGGAGGGGTACAGGGAGAGAATCTCAAGCAGATTCTCCGCTGAGCATAGAGCCCTCCGAGGGTCTCCATCTCATGATGCTGAGATCATGACCTGAGCCAAAATCAAGAGTCACTGCTGAACTAACTGAGCCACCCAGGCGCCCCTAATTTCCGAAGTTTTGTTGCTATTGATCCCTTTCCAGTTCTCTTTGTTTCTGTACGCCTTACTATACAGCATTGAGGGGGAGTCTAGGTCAAATATGTTCAGCCTACTCTCCTTTCCCCAAGTTTCTAAATAATTAGTTTTTAACAGTTAAGAGACTATATTCATGTTTTAGATTTAATTGATGCTTTAAACTTAATTCCTATTTAATTCATCTCATATTCTCTTTCTTAATAGGAAAAGTCTTTTTAATCTGAGCTTTCTTTATTTTCTCCTTTCTACTTCACAGTTTCTTCATACATCCTCCTGTGTTCTCAGACCTCCCTCCTATTCTCTGCATCCCACCACTCCAGCCTCTTCTACAAACTTCCCCATCCTGGAAACAAGTTAAATCCCCTCACTTTCCATTTCTCTTAGCCTGTCTACACATTAAATGGCCTGTTTTTAAACCTATGGAAGTTTCTTAGTTAAGAAACTGAATTAATCAACTTTCCTTAATCCTTAAGCTCCAGTCCCAGCTTTCTTATTTTTTAATTTTCTCTTTAAAAAAAAAAAAAAAGTTATTCATCCATTTCCACTTAGTCTTTTATATGAGCTTTTTTGAAAATTACTTTCTTTTTTTATATTTTATTTTATTATGTTAGTCACCATACAATACATCATTAGTTTTTGATGTAGTGATTCACTATTCATTGTTTTCATATAACACCCAGTGCTCCATGCAGTACGTGCCCTCCTTAATACCCATCACTGGGCTAACCCATCCCCCTACCCCCGTCCGCTCTAAAATCCTCAGATTGTTTCTCAGAGTCCAGTCTCTCATGGTTCATCTCTCCCTCTGATTTCCCCCCCTTCATTTTTCCCTTCCTTCTCCTAATGTCCTCCATGCTATTCCTTCTGTTCCACAAATAAGTGAAACCATATGATAATTGACTTTCTCTGCTTGACTTATTTCACTTAACATAATCTCCTGCAGTCCCATCCATGTTGATGTAAAAGTTGGGTAGTCATCCTTTCTGATGGCTGAGTAATATTCCATTGTATATATGGACCACACCTTCTTTATCCATTCATCTATTGAAGGGCATCTGGGCTCTTTCCACAGTTTGGCTATTGCGGACATTGCTGCTATAAACATTGGGGTGCATATGGCCCTTCTTTTCTTTGCAAACAAAACCACCAACCCCTTTTTGGCCACAGCCTAATTGACTGCCTATTTTCCATTGAAACCTTTTCTTCTCATTCTTGTCTTGTTCTTGTTTTACTTCTCAGAATTAATGGGATTTGTTTTTTCCCCTCTTGTGTCTGTTTTTCCCTTTTCCCCTTAGATGTGGGCCTCTATTTCCCTAGGTTACCTAGGGAACAAAGCAGGAAAGTTCACAAAAATTTTTGACTTTTGAAGTTTTTCTTCTTTGTTAAAGTGATGTGATTTTTTAATAAAGATTTATATGCCATTAATAAGGTTTAACTTTTAATATTTAGGCAGGTGCTGTAAAGGACTATATTAAGATGATGCTTCAGAATGATTCACTTAAATTTCTGGTTTTTGCTCATCATTTAAGCATGCTCCAAGCTTGCACAGAAGCAGTCATAGAAAACAAGGTATGTTATCATTTTTCTGTAAAATACTTTTTAGCATGCAGGTTGTTAATAGACTAAACATCAATTGTAGTCTTGTAATTGAGGGTTCTTTTGGCCTTATTTAAATGATGATATATTAATTATTATTAGATTTTTTCTTGCAAATTATACTAATATTATTATTATGTTGATGATAAACTATTAAACTTTTTCTTCTATTCCAGGCTTATAATTTTCCACCAATCTAATTATCTGGATTGATTAAAATATGCTGACTTGATAGGCTATATTGTGAATTCCATTATTGTTATTGGATATACCATTTGAGACTGGTGTAGGCAATTAAAAATTAGAATTTTTATTTACCTGCAAGTCAGTTTTAGAATATGGTGATGTCAAGGGGAAACAGAATGAATTCAGCCAATGTTAGTACCCAGCTGCAGGTACTAATATCATATCATATCTTTAAAATGCCTCTTGAGGAAGAGTTAAATTAACCTTAGAAATATTTTTTTAATGATTGGGCAATAAAATTAGATTCATAATATTTTCTTATTTTGATTCCATTAAGCTTAAAACTTTAAAACTACTGGGATCTATTCTAAGTATAGCAGTCATTCTCCCCAGTTCTGCTTTACTGATGTGTTTAGAATCCCGTTTAACATCAGTAACAGTTAAAAATGGTAGACAGTCATGGGTTGGAGGTGAATCTCTCCCAAACTCTCCCTAGCCTGACAATGTGTGTTTTCTTTAGAAAGACTGTTGGAAGATTTTATAATCTCCCTTATTGGATATTAGATGGCTCACTGAGCAATGTGTATCTGTTTGTGAAGACATAGAAAGTTAATATGGGACATTCTATTTAATGATTAACTTGACTATTTCCTTATGAAAGTGAATATTGGTATGTCTCAACTATATAAGGCTCTGTTTTCCATAGAAGTGCATATATAAATGAGACTAGGTGAAATTCATGACTTAATACTGAATTTTAGAAAGTTGAGTAATGAGTTCTTTTTAGTTACTCTAACACACACTGATTGCTCCCTTTTTCTAACCCAAATCATTCCTAGAAGACAGCACTGTTGAGTTTAGCACTTAATGTTTCCCTACTTTTTAAAAATGTGTGTGAGTGTCTTGGTTCCCCAACTCAATGGAGGTGCCTTATCACATATTTCTGTTAAGTTTAGGAATGTGAAAAAAATGAATTCAAATGGTACACCAAAAAAGATATTTTCCCAGTTAATATTGGGATATTTCAGAAGTCAATGCACTACTCTTCATGAATCCGTAATAACGTGGGTAAAATCCTCTTTCTCCCTTTTTCCCTGTCTGGCTTTATTTTTACTTTGGAATCAGTGAACCTGAAACTTTAAAGTTAGTTTGATCTATCATTTAAAGTTTACATGTGAATTTATACAGAATTTTACTGAAGACATTAGCTTAATTCAGTGATGATTTATGGAGCTCCTGTTATATACAAGGCATTGCACTTGGCATTGATGGTATGAGGATGAATTAGACATAAATCCTACCCTCAAGTAGATTAAAAGATTTAAAAATAGGGAATTGTTACAAGAAGCTATTAAGAAATTTGATTAAGATTCTTCTTATATAACATTTACTAACCTTTCATCGTAACCTATTTATATTTTGTTATTTGAAGCATAAAAATAAGGCATAAAACATAAAATGAGATGGGTGCATAGGGGTTTGTGCTAATTTTGCTATTTCCCTTGTTGATACTAGGCTCGCTACATTAGGATAGATGGAAGTGTTCCATCTTCAGAAAGAATACATCTAGTTAATCAGTTTCAAAAGGATCCTGATACTCGTGTGGCTATCCTAAGCATTCAGGCTGCTGGCCAGGTAAGAAATTCCATGTGTAAATTTGATAATGAAATGTCATTAAGATAATAAAAAGGTCATTAAGCATAATTATAACTTTACATCAAGATAAAGGTGTAATAAATATTCTACTTTGGAGAGTGCTAGAAAGTATAATAGAAGGAGACCTCAACACCTCTGACTCAAATCTTAAATTTTCAAGGAAAGAATTTCCTAGATGAATATAGTTAATTTGATGCTAATACCTTTCCAAGACCTTTTTTTTTTCTAACTTTGAATTTGCATAGAATTTTCCTTTCATTTCTTATAGCACTTATACTTACTTGATTGGTTTCACCAGAGCCTGTGAAGTAAGGTGACCTCAGGGAAAAGAACTTTTTATGGAGCACCCCTGGTTTGACCCTTAGGATTGGGTTTGGCTGCAAGTAAATGAAAACCCAAATTAAGAATGACTCAAATACACAAAGTTTTACTCTTTCATGTAGACAGTCCAAGGTTAGCATGGTAGTTCCACAAAGTCCTTAGGGCTTAAGCGTCTCCTGGCTTTCTGCTTTACCACTCCTAGCAGGTATCTCTTTTTTAAGAGAGCTGCTAGAGTTCCTCCATCATATCTGTGATCCAGGCAGCTGACTGGAGAAAGGCATGCTGCATCTCATTCACCTGCAGTTAGCCCTATGGTTACAACTAACTTCAAGGGAAGCTGGGAAAAATAGCCTTTATTTTGTCTAGTCACACTAAAAGTCAGGTGTTATGTTACAAAGAAATAAGAACTGAATAGCTCTTATGGAAGACAATGACAGTCTCTGCCTCACTGTGTAAGGGGGATCCTTCTGGACTTCTTTTTCCACTAACATTCTACAATATTTTGATGTAAATATCTAAGCCAGGATATTTAACATAGAGAAAAGTGATTGAACATATTTTCTGTGCATCCAACCTGATATACAGCATATCTCTAGACTCTGGAATCTGAACCAGGGCCTAAGATCTGCTTTTAGCCAGCCAATTGATGTCTATAAAATTGATTATAGAGAGAAGCTCCATGAGGATAAAGAAGTTCTAGAACTTACCAGGAGTTCTTACCAAAAGGAGGATTATCTCAATACTTCCCTCATGTTGGGTTAAACCTCTAGTAGTCTAAGTTTTATATCTGTTAGAATATTCCAGCCAGAGAGAATGTCATCAAAAAGAGCTTAAAATTAGAAATGGAACACTCCTAGCATGGGGGAAGAAAAGTAGAAGGAAGCCAGGCAGGAGGATCTGGGAATGGCTTGATAAAAGACTTTCTGAAGTTAAGACTGTATAGGGCACCCATATTTTATTCAAAGCTGTATTCCTGAGGACCTGGTATAATTCAAAACGCATATACTTGAACACTAGTATGTTCATAGGAATAAAGGAAAGTAGAAAGGGCTTTGTTCTTGGGGCATGTGAATCTTCCACTGTAGTTTAGTAGTATGTTAGAGGGATGTGGGTCTCGCCAGCATATTTCCCTTTTATTCTTGTATGGTCATATGATGCTTCTAACACACTTAAAGGTTTTCATCCCTCTTGAAATACTACTTGTTATTTTCCAGCATCATCTCTAATATTTTGTGGTGTTTCCTGTCCTAAATAGCAGCACAGTTTAGCTTGATGGTTGTTGGGCTTACCATGTTTTTATCACTTCTAACTTCTGTTCCAAAGTGATGGATCTTTACTGAATTTTTCAGCTTGAGAACTTATGCCACCATTTAATGAATGCTGGTATGATGTCGTTATGTGATATAAAAATATTTTAAGTTAAAGTAATATAAAAATAACAGCACAGCAGTCACAAAAGTCATTCACTGATGGAAGTTCCAGGGCATGTGAACACCAGCGTGGATTAGATGATTCTTTCAAAGGATGATAGGTATTTCTTTCAACCACATAACATCATTTATTACTGTGTGGCAATAGCTTAAGCATGGCTCACATTTCACCCAGCCTTTCAACTTTAAAATCGTCTATTTTGGGAGACATTCTTAATTTGAGATTTGCATTTTTCGCATAGTGATTATACAACAAGACTTAGTTAATACTTACTAATGTCAAACTATTTCAAACTGATGTAAAATGCAATTGCACAAAATAGTCAATTGTGTTATATATATATTGAGATAAAAGCCGTGAACTTAAGAGTGTTTGAGATGTAACATGAGAAATTTCATAGGAAAAGAACAGTGTGACTGGAAACATGATTTTCTTGCTTTATAGAGCAACACTATGAATTAAATGAATAGAGGAAGTCGTTGCTCTCTGCCTAGTTGCTATGGATACCATGTGTTAGAAATTATATTATCATTTATAATGTATTGTATTAGATTTTCCAGTGGTAATGTGAATCCAGTCCTCATCAGAGGATAAAGTGATTTTGTTTATATATATACCCATCAAACTGACTTTTGAAATATTGAAATACCTTTTAAATGTGTTTTTTGTAGTTTACCTGGCCATTTGCAATAAGCGGTCTTCATTTGCCTTTCATGAATTAAATTTTCTTAATTTGGCTTAAAACGAAAGATTGATTTATTTTTAAGTCCTTTAGCTTTCTCTTGTTCATTTAACATGTTCAGAAAGACTTTGTTATATCTGGCTGTATGTTACATTCTCAGTTTATTTGCATCTCAATTTCTTCACTTTATTTTGCTTAGGGTTTGACATTTACTGCTGCAACTCATGTTGTATTTGCTGAGTTGTATTGGGACCCTGGACATATAAAACAAGCAGAAGACCGGGCTCACCGAATTGGACAGTGCAGTTCTGTGAATATTCACTACCTTGTTGCAAATGGGACTCTGGACACCCTTATGTGGGGGATGTTGAATCGAAAGGTAAAGCTTCAATTCAAACCAGGTTACCAACTTATTCATTATGTAGAGCCTACGTAAGTTAAGAGACTGAGTTGTAGTGTTTTCAGGCAAAGGATATTCAAGTACACTAAGATAGTGGTGTTAATAGGGACCAAGGTTAGAAAAGTCTTCAGCTGGTAGTACCTTACTTATCCTTACTGGGAGAGACGTGCATTTACATGTGTTCTTCCTGTCTTCCAAGGCCTTCATCTACCATTTTAGAGGCCAGAAAAAGATGAGCTAGCAAGGAACCTTAACAGTGTCAAACCCCAAGTCCTTTGTGTAAGCTAAGAATAAACCCTTACACAGAAGGATTGAGTTCTGGCTAATTTTGGACAGAGGACAGCCTGTACCTGGACCCCAGAAAGGGTAGGAGGGATGTCGCTTGTTCTATCCACTCAACTGTCCCTTCTCCTCCCCAACCTGGAGGGGTATTCATAGAAAGGATTTGACTAATTGTTCGAGGATGTTTTTCAAGCCCTGAATATATATATTCAAAATGGCCAATCATGTGGGTTCAGTTTCAAAGTTTATAAATATAAGAATAAAAGTTTTTATGAGAAAAGAAAATAGTATAACTTCTCTGGTTAGACATTTACCTCATTAAGTATAGGAATCACCGACTTGGTAATTTGGTTGTAATTTTGAAAAATTTTATTACTAAGGTCCATGACAGGTTGAAACACTAAGAGTTTCTTTAGTGAATTGCTTGTGGTTTAAATGCAAAATCAGGTCACTGCTTAGTAAGTATCAGCTGTGAGAGAACTTTTGTAAAATTCATATGCTTCTTCATCTTACAGACACAAGTTACAGGGAGCACATTGAATGGTAGGAAGGAACAACTTCAGGCTGAGGAAGGTGATAAGGAAAAATGGGATTTCCTGCAGTTTGCTGAAGCTTGGAGTCCAAATGAAAGCTGTGAAGAGCTCAGGAATGAAATTTTGTTCACTCACGTAAGATTATATGACAAATTCTTTTCTTTTTTAATTTTTAATATCCTAAAACTATAACTTTATCATATATTTTTTAAATAGCAAATTTTAATTGTGCTGTTAAAAGGAGCTTCCACATAAAGCTGGAAAACCTCTTAGAGCCACCAGATGACATTACAAGGAGGCTGCACCAGTGGCTTGTATCTTCCAACAGTTAATGCCAGTGTTCACTGTTCTCCTTAGAAAAGGAAGCTCAATAGAATCCAGCCTTCAGAAGAAAGCGTAGATGGCTGTGTGTCCAATCCAGAGGACAGGGGAAAATGTATTAAATTTACCACAAAGTGTAACACAGACAGGTCACAGACTCTCTAAAGATATTGGCATTACAGGGCGCCTGGGTGGCTCAGTTGGTTAAGCGACTGCCTTCGGCTCAGGTCATGATCCTGGAGTCCTGGGATCGAGTCCCGCATCAGGCTCCCTGCTCGGCAGGGAGTCTGCTTCTCCCTCTGACCCTCCTCCCTCTCATGCTCTCTGTCTCTCATTCTCTCTGTCTCAAATAAATAAATAAAATCTAAAAAAAAAAAAGATATTGGCATTACAATGTCCAAAGTGTATAAGAATTTATACAATTTAATTAGTAAAATAAAAGCCAACAGAAAAATAGGCCAAGAATGTGAACATTAGAGGACACCTGAATAGCCAAGAAGCATGGAAGGAAGCTCTTCCTCACCAAATTAAGGCAAACTGTAAAGGCACATTTTTCCCTTGACAAGTATTAAGTAATCTGTGGTGTGGTACTTTGAGATTATGTGGCTGTCCTGTGTCCAAAACTTTTCATCCGATGGACTTAGCATTCACTCTGATCTTTGTCTGAATCAGTTTTAAAATAGTGGTTTTTCTAATTCTATCTTTGCTTCTATATTTATTAGCTGGCATTTTTCTGTAAAGATGAACTTTATTTTTCCTTATTTAAAAAAAAATATCACTAGAACTTGGGGATTCTGTTACTATTAATGTATTATAATTCCTCACTTTTTTCCTTTGTTTTTCTTAAGATCTGGCTTATAGAGGCACCTTTCTTTCTTTTCTTTCTTTTTTTAAAGCAAGTCCCTACATTGCTCTGAGTGCTTTCTAGCTTTCTGATAAACAATTTGAGACTGACCTTGTGTTTTCTTTGCCCCAGACCTGGAACCAGCATTTCTTTAAGGAGTCCTGATTCCTTTAACTGGGGAATGATACTTAGAAATCAGGATTTTTTTTTTATTGCTCTGGATATCATTACTTCTGAGCTATTTTCAGTGTATAGAGTGATTTATACACATATACATTTTTGCGTGGATAGGTTAATATGTATATATGTGTATATGTGTGCATTTTTAGTTCATAAGCTCACTCTAATATTCCAGTTCAACTTCAGCACCACCAGGTTCTTCTTCACCTTCTCCTTATATCTATGCAAAAATAAGTATTTATGTTTCCCTTATCCAACAGTAAGAACTCTGGTTCCTGACATCATCATCATATTTGCTCAGTGGCTCTGTCCTTCCATACATGCAAAATACTTGTAAAATAACTACACTAATACCATATTTTACACCTACTAGATTGGCAACAATGAAAATACTTGACATACCAAAAATGTTAGGAACATTTCATATACCAAACTCTTCATATACTGCTGGGTAGGAGTATAAATTGTAACTCCTTTGAAGAGCAGTTAGGCAGTATCTGGTAAAGTGGGAAATGCCTTCCAACCAAACCATTCCATTTCTAGGAATATATTCTTACCCATGGGTATAAGGATACATGTACAAGGATGTTTATTGAATCAGTTTCTGGAATGCCAAAGATTGGAAACAACGAAAATACTTATCAGTAGGAGATGGACTACTTAAATTGTCTTAAGAAGGGCGCCTGGGTGGCTCAGTTGGTTAAGCGTCTGCCTTCAGCTCAGGTCATGATCCTGGGGTCCCGGGATCCAGCCCTGCATTGGGCTCCCTACTCAGTGGGGAGCCTGCTTCTCCCTCTCCCTCTCCCTCTCCCTCTCCCCTCTGCTCATGCTTGTGCTCTCTCTCAATAAATAAATCTTAAAAAATAAAAAAATTTTAAAAATAGTAATAAGATACCATTTAGAAGTTAACATGAATAAATTAGATTTATATGTTTTAACACGATCAGATTTTGAAAGCATAATGTTATTTTTAAAATGCATAGCACATACACACAAATAATATTAGGTATTTTATGAATATATATGTATATTTAATCAAATATATAAACATAGATTGGAAGAACACATATTAAACTTGTAATATTGATTTTGTCTGGAAGGAGAATGGGTCTGGGGAAGAGTAAAAAATTTAATAGCAACTTCAATAGAACTATTTTATTTTTAAAAAGAATAGGAAGTAAACCTTACAGTATTAGTATTTGTAAATCTTGAATGGTGGGTATGTCTCTGTATAATAACAAATACTATCACAGGCCATATATAACTGAATAAGAAATTATACATTAGAAAAGCTTATAGTCATTCAGACTGTCTGGGGTTTTTTTCCCCTAACCCTTTTGGTGCAATCTGGTGTGAGAGTTAGGGAGAGTTTTTATTTTTTTTTAATTTGAGTATAGTTGACACACAGTGTTAGAGGTGTACAAAATACAGTTTTAGGTTTACAAAACAGTGATTTGAAAACTTTATGCATTATGCTATGTTCTCCACAAGTGTAGCTATCTGTCCCAATGCATTTCTGTTATAGTATCACTGACTATTTTCTTTATGCTGTGCCTTTTATTCTTGTGACTTATTCATTCCATATAGGGGGGTTTAATTTTACTTTTTGAAAGAATTGATCATATAGGAATAAAATTAAAGTCTACAAAGTTTAGTTCCATAGGAAGAAACAATGTTTTTTATGTGAAATCTTACTAAATTTTTTAGGTATCTTATTTAGAGCTAGTACTTTTCTTTTTTTTTAGGATACTAGAATGCCATTCTGTCAAATATTGCTAAAAAAAAAGAAATGGATTACTTCTAAGACTTTTTTCTTTTGTTTAACAAACTACTTTCCTGGGGCGCCTGGGTGGCTCAGTCGGTTAAGCGTCTGCCTTCAGCTCAGGTCATGATCCCAGAGTCCTGGGATCGAGCTCTGCATGGGGCTTTCTGCTCGGTGGGAAGCCTGCTTCTCTCTCTCCCACTCCCCCTGCTTATGTTCCATCTCTCTCTCTCTCTCTCTAATACATAAATAAAATCTTAAAAAAATAAAATAAAAAAAGACTTTCCTTTTGGTGGTGTTTATAATTTTGGTCTATAAAAAAATCAATAGGTATTTAAAATCCTAGGTATTTTAAAAATACATAACTAAAATTATGATTTGTAGCTGTTTGTTCTCTAAAACTTTCTAATTATAGAATTATGTTTCAGGGTTCATTTTTAGGATAGTATTAAGAATTTGAAATGCGGGGCACCTGGGTGGCTCAGTCATTAAGTGTCTGTCTCTGGCTCAGGTCATGATCCCAGGGTCCTGGGATGGAGCCCCGCATCAGGCTCCCTGCTCCGCGGGAAGCCTGCTTCTCCCTCTCCCACTCCCCCTGCTTGTGTTCCCTCTCTCGCTGTGTCTCTCTGTCAAATAAATAAATAAAATCTTTAAAAAAAAAAAAGAATTTGAAGTGCATCTTCCCATGAGTATGCATATTTATTGTTTTTTAAGTGTATCTGAAGAAGAACATATATCTGTGTACAAAGTTTCTTAAAACTCACCCAATCACCTTTACCAAATCTTTCTTTTATGAATCAGGTGTTTTTCTTTCACAGTTCAGTATTACCTTGCACAGATATTTCAATGCATGTCAATTTTTTTAAGAGCAAATATTTATTTTTTTATTTTTTACTGAGGTAAATTTGGTAAATAATGTTTCAGATGTACAACATAATAGTTCAATTTTTGTATACACTACAAAGTGATTTCCACAGTAAGTCTCAGTACTCACGGTCACCGTACAATTAACCCCCTTTACCCATTTCAGCCAAGCCCCAACTCCCTTCCCCTCTAATAACCACCACTGTGTTCTCTGTATCTGTGAGCTTGGTTTGGTTTAGTTTGATTTGGTTTAGTTTGATTTGGTTTTTTAGACTCCACACATAAGTGAAATCATATGGTATTTGTCTTTCTCTGCCCAATTTTTTCACTTAGCATAATACCTTCAAGGTCCATTCATGTTGCAATGGCAAGAATTCCTTTTTTATAGCTGGGGACTAGTCAGTGAATAGATATATACAATACATTTTCTTTATACATTCATTCATCATTGCTTCCTTATCTTGGCTATTGTAAATAATGTTGCAATGAGTATAGGAGTGCAATATATCTTCTTGAATTAGTGTTTTTGTTTCTTTGGATAAATGCCCAGAAGTGGAATAGTTGAATCATATGGTAGTTCTATTTTTAATTTTTTTAGTACTCTCCTTACTGTTTTCCATAGTAGCTCTACCAGTTTACATTCCCACCAACAGTACACATTGTTCCCTTTTTCCCACATCCTCACCAACACTTTTTGTTTCTTATCTTTTTGATAATAGCCATTCTAACTGGTGTGAGGTGATATCTCATTGTGATTTTGATTTGTATTTCCTTGATAATTAGTGATATTGAACATCTTCTTATGTGCCTCTTGGCCATCTATATCTTTTTTATTTTTCTTCATCTGTATGTCTTCTTTGGAAAAATACCCCTTTAAATTTCCTGCCCATTTTTTAATTATATTGCTTGTTTTTCTGCTATTGATTGTTTGAGTTCTTTATATATTTGTGATATTAACCCCTTATCAGATATATGATTTACAGATATATTTTCCTATTTAATAGGTTGCCTTTTTATTTTGTTGATGGTTTCCTTCACTGTGCAAAAGCTTTTCAGTTTGTTGTAGCCCTGCTTATTTATTTTTGCTTTTTGTTGCCTCTGCTTTGAAGTCAGATCCAAAAATTCAGCTCCATGACCAATGTCAAGTATCTTACTGCTTATGTT